CCCTTAAAAATTCAAACACGTATCAAATATGATGCAATAAATAAAGTTGATTCTGCCCTAATTAAAGATATCAAGTTTGAGACTTAAATATAAAAAATTCTTAATAGAGAATATTTTCCTTTCGAATAAAATCTTATACATCACAAATTTAAATTAATTGAGTTTCAATATTAATATTTCTAAATATCGAATAAAATAATAAAAAAAATAAGAATTCAAAAGATATCAATTGAATATTATTTTAGCTATATTGGAGCAATCAGTCCTCTTGGTAATGTGAGCCATCACTTTCTTGTCTTTTCATAAAAAATGGTGTTTTTGATTTGACATAGACTTTAGTGGAAATTTATTCGTACTGTAAATACAACTTTAGGTGTACTATAAAGGACAAATGTAAATATTCTCTCCGTTTTATTTTATCTCATATTTTTACTTTGTATTTGTATTAAAAAATAATATAATTTTATCTTTTTATTTTTATTTAATTTTTTCTTATGTTAATTTTATAATAAATGATGAATATATTTTCAAAATTAATTGACTACTCTATTAAAGATATAATAAGTAAAATATGATAATTTATGTATAAATTTTATAAAATGATAAATATTATGATACATCTATTTATAAAAAAGAATGACATATAAAATGACGAAGGAAGTATCAATCTGCATAGGCTCATGCTCAACATTAGTTATTTTTTTTGTTTCGATTTATGTGTCTCAGTTCAACTTCATAATAAAATTTAAAAAGATAAATAATGTAAACATTAATATGCTAAAAAAAATTATATATATATATATATATATATATATGAAACATGTAGTCCTAAAATAAAAATATGTGAAATATGACAAGATTATCTTTTATTTTAAAGTTTTAGAATTTTTAAAGAAGTGTTTATATGTTATTTTATGTAAAATAATAAAAACCAAATTAAAACCAACAAAAAAGAATTAATTATAAACAACTAATCCAGTGATGAGAAAAACAGCTCTTGATTTGTTGTCATTTCTTTTTATTAATAATTATAAAAATAATCTGCTGTTAATCTCATTTTTAGTCATGTGGCATGTGGACAAATTATTGTTATCTTCTATTTTTATTAATTTTAATTAATTTGGTCAACTCTGTATATACTATAGTACTACTTTTAATGGAAGCATCTTCACGTTCATGGACCGTACATTACTGAAAATCATTTCCTAATTCGATTTCTTAGTTGTTTAATATTTATAAAAAATGTTTATTTCAAAATATACATTCTATAATAAATTATTTTTAAAGTAAATAATACTATATTAATTACATTGAGAAAATTAAAATATAAATTAGAAAAAAAATAATTTATTTAAAGCTTTTTATGATTATATAAAAAAGAACTTTGACAATTAATACGAAATAACGTGAATATAATAAGGGGTGTCCAAGAATTAAACCGAGAAAAAATCTTATTGGATCAAAAAGATTTATTAAAAAAAATTATTGGGTTATTGAACTGACCAATAAATTAAATCAAATTATTTTGATAGGGTTAACAAGATTCTAATGATTTTATATACATATAAAAAAAATTGGATTATCGATTTTTAGTGTTAGTTAAACCAATAACTCATCAAGACAATAGTAATCTACTACTTTACTCTTCATAATTTGTATCGATATTTAACATAACCAACACTACATTAATACTCTACACTACAATCTATATATTTTTGACTATAACATGTTATTGAGCCTTCGTACTACATCTATTCTTATTGAGCCAATTTTTCATTTTTCCTTTATCAAAGCAATTTACAATTGAGTTAAATGCATTCACACTCTTCTTAAAAAACATTTTTAAAATGTTTTCAAAATCATAAATTACTATTCTAATATTAATGAAAGTAATATTAATTAAATACAAACTACTCCTCTACTCTACATAGATAGAGTATACCTTGGGTACTTCGTAAATAAATTTAATTATTTAATTATAAGCAATTTAAAGTACTATTTAAAAGATTTTTAATAAAACATGAGATCTGTTGTATGATTGTATACACGTGACGAGTTTTTCTAGGTAAAAAAGTTGAGAAGCGTGAAGAATGGGAACATGGAACCTGATTTTCAGTTTGGCTTTGACTAACCACTAGTAACTGAATATCTCCCTCTTAAAATACTTTAATTTCGAATAGAATATACCTAATTTTATTTATTTATATATAGAGAGGTTATTTTAGATAAATTTTTAGTTTAAGTTAAAAGTATTTTAGAAAAAAAGGTAATGACAATACAAAAAAACAAAATTATATACTATTATCAATGAAAGTAACTAGTAATACTCAATAATTATATTTTGATTATTATTTATTTATTTTGTCGATTATTTATTAGTTTATATTATTATTATTATTAATATATATTTTGTAGCGGTTTACTTCAGCAAGATAAGAATATTTCTCTAAATTATGGACTAGATATTTATTTTGATCATAGTTTATAATGACGAAAAATGCTGAGATATTTTTAATTTTTTATGTCTTAACTATTTTTTTAATCCAAATGATTATCAGTATGTCCAAAACTTGATTTTTTTTATTTAAGTAATTTAATTGCATGCGATAAATATTTATATTTTTTTTTTACATATATGGAAAAATATCTCAATTATATGACAAACACTACAAAGGTCAAAACTTGAAAAATATTCCTCTTTGTAAAATGTATGTTTTTCTTTCACTTTATAAAGTGTAACAAAAAAATTTACTTTACAAAGTGTAAGAAAAATTTACATTTTATAAAGTGTATGATATAATTCTATTATACATTAAAATATACTTGTTATGAACTAAAGGAAAACGTTTGAAATATTCAATAAAGTGAAATTGTTTTCTTCCGCTAAGTCTATTTTAATTACTTTCTAACATAATAATTTATTTTGATTCTTTTAATCTTTTTCTGGCTCCGAACTCTTTTATATTCTCAATAAGTTATTGAAGAGATGTGTATATCTTCTATCACATGTCTGAGCTATCGTAAGTTAAAATTAATTTATTATTACAAGTACTAAATATTAAAAAAATGTCAAAGTTTAGAATTGAATAAAAAGAAGTATCACATAATTGATAACTATTTTCTAATGTTTGATATTTCTAACACATTTTTATAAAATAATTTTTATAATATAAATACATTATGTGAACAAACTTACTATATCTTATTAATCCGTATATGATCTTCTAATTCCACCTTTTATCATGAAGTAGTCAAAATGTTACGAGTCAATACCATTAGTGTTTAAAGTAACCATTTATCAAATTTTAATATAATGTGCATTGAATCTGAAAATCTAAAGTAATTATTAAACTTAAAATTGGCTCAATAATTTAGAGTCCAAAAACATCAAAGCCAAAGTGTTATAAAGTCATCGAGTCAATGCGTACTATATAATTAATTTATAACAAAGCAGTATATGATAAATGTTATAAATAATTAATAATTAGTTGCCAATAGTAATAACTCGATGGGCTAATAATTCAGAGTTAAAAAAATTAATAGAACTCAATCTTTTATTATATTAATTACCTTCGAAGTACGACTTATTTTTTAATCATGATTATTTAAAAATAATTAATCAAAATATATAGTACAATATACTATAACGATATTTTTGTCCGAGCCCAAACATAGTGTCATTTAGAAAAAGAAAATTATTAATTTATTTTTTTTCTATTTTTTATCGTTAGTCGAATAAACATGAAGAAACTCAATATGGTGAAAAAAAGTAGTATTAAATTGAGATAAGAAATTTATTCATGTATTAAGATTATTATAGCTCGTGGATTTTTGTGACTAATTTTCCAATGATTTTCTTTTTAAAATGTGTTTAAATCAATTAAAAATGCAAATTAGTCGGAACACCTTTTTACATTAATGATGAATGTAGAGTAAATTTATCTAACATATTATTTTCAAATTAATTATCCACTCTGATTTCCTAATAAAGGTAACAGTTATATTAAGTAAACCGTTAAGACTTCTCCATGACTTAAATTAAATGAATTATTTAAAAGAATTTCAAAAAAATTAACTTTTCTCCATATTATCATTCATGTAATGATGTTATTAGTTTACTCAATTCAAATTTCTAACATGGTAAAAAACTCTAACATTGCCTGTTCTAATTTAATTAAAAAAATTACTTAAAAAGGCAAATATACCTATCTGAAAATTTCAATCCGTTTTACATGCATTTAAATCCTATATATCTAAGGTGTAAAATACACAAATGATTTAAATATACACAATTGAAAGTTTAACCAATTTTAACATGCATCTCGCTAAATATATCTACATTTGTTCACTTCGCTCGATCATGCTATTTTTAAGTATGAACATTTTCCCCCTTTCTATTTTTCTGAGGCATAAATTTATATTTCATATTATAATATTACGTAAATTAAAAGCCAATCCATTTGAAAGGCAGATCATATAATAAAATAATTTTAGTACTTCCTTCGTTCTATTTTATTTAGTATTATATTTTGTTTGGTTAGTCAAAGAAAAATGTCATATTTTCTAATGGTAAGTATTTAAAAGTATTTTTGAAAAAAATAATTGAAGGTATAATTTCTCTTCTATCCTTTTTGGTCCCACTCTATTACATTTATAAGGAGAAAGACCAATCAGTTTACTGGATAATTTAGTAAACATTTTAAATTCTTCATTATTTTTTAAACTGTGTCCGATCAAATGTTATCACGTAAAATGGGAGGAAGAAAGTAAAATGAACTTTTTTAAGAGTAATTTTTACTAATTGAACTTATAAATAATTAAAATAATTTTTAAGTGTTTTAAATTTATAATTTATTTTACTTTATTAATTTACATAATAATGTATTTTGTATAGACTAGAGGTAAACATTTGGTGCGAATAATTTTTTTTTTTAGATAATAATACTAAGATGAGGAATCACGAAATTATCTAGGTATATTTTTTTGAGATATGAGATACCGTACCACTACCACTCCACGCCCGCTCTTCAAGTCTTTCCAACTGCCATTTTTCTCCTATAAATTCTCTTTTCACAAATAACAATAAACCTCTCTCTCCTCTTTCTCTCTCTAACACACATCCCCAGTACAGCACCAACAATGGCTTCTTCTTGCTCTATCAAAAAAGTTCACATGATAACCAAAATCGTTCGCCTCAAACAAGTCGTTAAGCGATGGAAGGACAACTCTCTTCGGACTCGTTCCGTTCTCTCTTACTCCTCTTCCGATTCCGACGAACCGGCGCAAACCAATTTGAACTCGAACTCCAACCGCCGCCGTACGCCGTCCGGTTCATTAGCGGTTTACGTAGGGGTTGATGAGAATGAGCGGCGTCGGTTTGTGATTCCGACTCGATTTTTGAATCTACCTGTGTTCATTTCGTTACTTGATAAGGCGGAGGAGGAGTTCGGATATCAACCTACCGGAGGATTGATTTTGCCGTGTGAGGTTGAGTTGTTCACGGTGATTTTGAAGCTGCTTGAAATTAATGAACAGAGATTTGGTGTTTTAGGGTTAGATGAGATTTTGATGGTAATTTCTGAATCTGATTTAGATCAGTCTTGTAAAGAAGCTGCTTCACATGGATTTGCTCCTCTGCTTCGGAAAACTAGGGTTTAACCCGACCCGACCCGACCCGGTATTTTAGGTTTTAGGGTTTTATTTTTCTTACCTTTGGCCTAACTTTGTGGAGATTTGTAGGATTTTATTTTGTTATTTTTCAACCATTTGTGAACCCAGAAATTTGGTTTTATGAAGGTTTGCTGGGTTACAAAAAGACGTTGGTCAATTTATCTTTCCTTTTTTACCCCTAAGATTATTATGAGGGGGTGAACAAGCTGATTATGATTATTATTGTTCTTATTATTATGGGAAAAAAATGGCTTGAAAGTTTATGAAATATTCTACTAATTGATTTTGCTATGTTACATATATTTTCATGAATTATTTATTTATTATAAATTATAACTATATATATAATCGTTGTTTTGTAAATATTTGTGTTGTTTTTCCAGGTTTTTGCTCTCATTTTTTTTTATACTCCTTAATAATGCATTATAGAATTAAAAAGGGAAAAGAGTACTAAATAAAAAAGTTTATCAACCTTTCATTATGATTTCAGATTTTATTTTTTTTAAATAATGAAATAGATCCAATTTGATCTGTACTACAGTATTTCGTACTTTGACACCTCTTGTTTGTTTTATTAAAAATTATTTAAGGTATTTTATTGGTTAAAATAAATATAATTTTATCTTGATTCGATAATTTGCAAGTTCAAATTGAAATTCCCCAACTATTATTTTAATAAAAACAAATTCAAATAGAATTATTTTTAAAAATGCGAGGTGTTCAAAATGTTACAGACTAGGGGATTTATCTAATTTAAACAAAATGCTTATCTATGAGCAAAGTTACAGCGATTATGGGTTATATTTGAGTTTCCAAAAAATTAATTTTTTTTTCCCTAAAATGCTCCTAATATATCAAAAATTCATAATTTACCAAAAAAAGATGTTCACATTTCATTCATTGTGTGTTTTAAATTCAATTCTAATTTTAAACAGTTCAATTAGTTATTATTCCTTCCGTTTATATTTATTTATTTATTTTAACTTGACATATCATATAAACAAGTATTTTTACTATTTTTTAAAAATAAAATAAATAATATAAGACGATAAGAGTAAAATACTTAACCGTAAAGATAAAATAAATATAAAATAATAATTATCTTTTAATTTTTAAACTAAACACAAAATACCTATTTTGAATATAGTAGAAAAATAAAAACAGGCTGAAAAGAAATAGTAGTAAATTAAGAAAATGATCATCTTTTACTTAAAAGTCACCTATTTTATCTAGACCCACCCCTATTTAAGACCATAAGTATATGCAAAGTTATATTACAATAGCATAAGCATAATTAATAGGTAAAATTTATTTGTATTAAATGTTTACACTAAGTTGCATGTTATATGTTTAAATTTATAATTTATTATACTTTATTAAATTACGTAATAATGAATATTGCATTGATTTAATGTAAATCTCTAATGAATAAGCTTTTTTCATAATTAATAGTACTTCCGTCCATTTTTAATTATCATAATTTTTTTAATAATCAAATAATAATAATTTTAATTGATATTTTATGAGATATTTTTCATCATATTAATATGTAATTTAAAAAAAACACAATATGACAATTAAGAGTAAACACAATCATATTACTAGCTTGTCCTTGTAAGAGTACTCTTAGCAAAATAGAGTAAAAGTTAAATATAGACAAAACTGACAGGTGATGCCAAACAGCACTTGCAAGTAAAAAGTAAAAAATAAAAAAAGTAGATATTTATGTTTTCTTGTACCAAAAAGACACCACATGCATTGCTTTTTTTTTTTATTTCAGTTGAAATTTCTATTATAGGTTCAACTATTTTATTTTATCAGATTCCATAAGGTTTTGTCTGGTAATAAATATCCATTTCTTGGAATTAATTTTCTGTACTTTACTTTTGCTTTATTTCTGCCATGGATTTAAGAATGTACCAATTTATAAAACAACTTCAGGCCTAATTATTTTGCCTTCTTTTGTTCAACTCAACTTTATCATGCATATCATACCAGTACAACCCTAATTTGTAAATGGTAGTGTTTTGATGAGATTCTTACAGAATTAGTTTAACATAAGGAGTATAGTTCAAGTCTTCTAAGAAAATTATTCATCACATTAGCAATTAATGGTGGACATCTAAGGTGTGGGAAAAATTAATTTGGGAGCATAAAAATCGATGAGATGGATTACGCTTTGATACTATATAAAATATAGGGTAAATTACAGAAATCACATATGTGGCACTAGTTCGAAAAAAAGTCAATCACCGTTGGGCCCACAAGATAGTGCCACGTAAGTTTAAAAGGGGTAAAAAATTATTAATAAAATAAGTTCAGGGGGGTAATAGGACCTTAGTATAGTATAAGTGTGTCTCTGGGATTTCGGGCATAGGTTGAGGGGGTATTTGGGTATTATCCCTATTTTTAAGGTAAAACTTATAATCTATCCCTTAAAAGTAATCCTTCAAAACGGATACAATAATATAAACACTGATACATTAATCTGATGCGCGAGATACACTAGTCTGATGTGCGAAGTACATTTTATACATCATACACCAACCTGATACGCGAATACATTAATTTGATGCGCGAAATACACTAATCTGATGCGCCAGGTATATTTTATACATGATACACTAATCTGATGTGCACGATACACTAATTTGATGCGTGAAATACATTAATGTGATACGCGAGATACACTAATGTGATGCGCAAAAATGAGAAATTTTAAAAGTTTGTAAAATTTATAGGGAATAATGATTATAAGTAAACTAAAAGATAGAATTTCCGTAATTAATCATAAAATATATGACATCTACCCCTGAATTATGGGGATTGTATGTAAATGTTAGTATTCAAATTTTTGGTTATTGGGATTTTTTTTAGAAGTTTCATTTTAGTTTGATAATTTTAGATAAACATCCGTGTATAATATATTATTCTCAAATTTCATTTTTGAGATTATTCGATACGTTTGTTGGTGTTATTAGTTGTTACTAAAAGAAGGATGTTAGCTGTTCAATATTTGTTGTTCCATTTGATTTAATTAATTAATGATGTAATGATTTTGCTTTAATCTATTTTCTTTGTTTAAAATAGCTGTAAATCCATAAAGCATGATGACTCATTCTTGTTGGAGAGAATCTTACATGTAATTATGCTAATAGGGAAGTAGTGCTCCTCAACTATATATTATATATTTAATTTTAAAAATAATAATAATTTTAATAGAGACAAATTCATAATTCAAAATTTATTAATTTCATAATAATTTTAAATTATGTTATAATGATAATTAAATTCACAATCTTGAAATTAAATACAATGGTATATATATATATATATTCTTTTCTTTTTAAATGCAATATTCTTTTAATAAAATATAAGTTCATCTATTAAGATATAATTAGAGTTTTATAATTTTATTTTAAGTCAAACGATTCCAAATAGGAAACAACACAATAATAAGTATTTTAGCAAGAAAAATACATTATAAGAAGTAGAGTCGTTAATATGGGCTAGGCCCGTTGGATCGACTTGGTCTAAACGGGATTTAGTAGGGCTGAATTAAGATTTTTGGAACTCATTTAAGAAAAGAGTTTTTTAGCCCGGCCTGCATAAGTCTGTCGATTTGTGGGCTTGAGAAATATTGGTAGAGCCGGTCCGTGGGCCAGTAAAAATTGATTAAAAAATATAATATTAAAATTTAAAATTTAAAAGAATAAAATTCAAAACAATCAGGTTAATATTTCTATTTAGATACTTATACTTTTACATGAAAAAAACTTAGTAAATATTTTATAAAGATAATTTTATTTGAAGATTTGATTAACAAGTAGTAACATCAATATCATGTAATATTGTTTTGTCAATATTTATGATAACATTTTTAAATTATAATTTATAATTTAATTTAATAATTATAAAAAAAATTATTTTTAGATGGGAAAATTGTCTATAATATCAAACTATTAATTCAAATTAAATGGTATAATCATAGTTTGATTTAATTGTACCCCATAGCAAACTGTTGTTATTTCGCATCTCTCCTAGTGAATCTCGCTCGTCACTATTGTTCTCTCTCTCGCCTCTCTCGCTTTTATACAAACACAAATGTATAGAATGCATTTGTATTTTTATAAAGCGAGGGAAAATTGTAAATATACATATATTTTCGTTCCCCTCTATCCGCTCTCTCAAATCTCACTCGTCACTCGCCTCTCTCCTCTTTATATAAAATGCAAAATGTATAAAATGTGTTTGTGTGTGTATAAAGTGAGAGAAAATTGTAAATATACATATATTTTCGTTCTTCTCTCTCCCCTCTCCCATATCTCGCTCGCCACTCTCTCATATCTCACTCGCCACTCGCCTCTCTCACTTTATACAAATACAAATGTACACATTGTGTTTGTTTTTATAAAGCGACAGAAAATTTATATATATTTACAAATGCTTATATTTTCGTCTTATACATTTATAATAATACAAATACGATTGTTCCTTGCCTATTTTTCTTTTGTCTTTCTATCTTTCTCGCTTTATACAAACACAGGTTATACAAGTGACTTTGTATATATGTATACCAAAGGAGACTATACAACTACTTTCTTTTGTATATGTATAGCGAAATTATACAACTATTTTCTTTTGTATATGTATAGCGAAGTATACATTTTTATGTTTGCTATGGAGCGCAATTATGCTAACTATAGCTATAACATACAAATATGATTTTTATGTTTGTTATATGTGAAAGTTGTTCTTTTTAAAAAAGTGGGTTGACCTGGTAAAACCTATAACCCACGTACTTATGGGTTGGACCGATCATTTTTGGCCCACACAAAAATGGGCTAGCCCCGCCTGACCAGTAAAATATCAAAATTTGTATAAAATAGCCTCGATGGGGTGAACTAGCTCATATTGACAGCTCTAATAAGAAGTTACGAATAATATTTAACCTAAATTTGTGGATTCGAAAACATAAAATTTAATTTTTATTAATTTATGAAATGATAATAAAAAATAATTACACAATAGGTCAGTATATGATCATAATTTTCTACTCAACATTTCTTTTAAACTTTAAACTTGTTCTGGAAAATTCTTTTCTCAAACATCTATTGGAAAAAATTCTTTACACACTATATAAATAGAAATAAAATCACACTGTATATCGTGCTGTAAAAATATATCGAACATGTTATTTTTATGTTATAATTATATATCTTAATTTATATGACACGTTATTAAGTCAATTTAAGAAATATGACATATTTGATAATTAATGATACTTTAATTTTAA